CCCTACACGTGTGGGGAATGTGGGAAGAGCTTCAGGAGGAACTGCAAGCTCCTCACCCACCAGCTCATTCACACTGGGGAACGGCCCTACACGTGTGGGGAGTGTGGGAAGAGCTTCAGTGACAGGTCCCAGCTCCGCAGGCACCAGCTCATCCACACTGGGGAACGGCCCTACAAGTGCTTGCAATGTGGGAAGAGGTTTCAGAGCAGCTCAGATCTCCTCCTGCATGAGCGGATACACACAGAGGAGAGGCCCTTCCGCTGCACCGACTGCGGGAAGGGCTTCAAACGCAACTTCCACCTCATCACCCACCGGCGCATCCACACCGGGGAGAGGCCCTACAAGTGTGGGGAGTGTGGGAAGAGCTTCACCCGCAACTCCCACTTGACCTCCCACCAACGGACCCACCAGTAATGGAAGCCCTCCAAGTGCCCTGACTGCAGGAAGAGCTTCGGCCGCTGCTCCCACCCCGAATGACCCCCCTGATGGTGAGGCAACCCCTGGAGTCCAGGGACTGTCAGTCCATCCCTTTCTACCAGAAAGGGCCAGTCCCCTTTGCCAGGGGCAGGTTGTGCCAACAGAACCCTTCTTGGGGAGTGTGTGGAGATTCCTGCCTTGGCTGGGACCCCCCAAGGTCACTGCTGGAGGTTGAGAGCAGAGATCTCCCCCCGAGCGTTGGTCTGGGGGAGTTCCATCCCTCTCTAATTCCTAATTCTTGCTTTGGTTCCAGCTTGAGTAGAATTGCTTCAACAATTGCTTTAGTGTAGAGCACTGTCCTATCTTATGCTGTCCTACTGGTAGTTTTAGTGTTTCTATTGTGCAGTAATTCTGATGAAGATCTTTTGTCTGATCATTTGTAACCTTAAATAATTCATTTCTATCAGTAGATCTGTTTTGCCATCCTTAAAACCTGGGTGACAAAAGTGGTTCAGTCCCACCTCTATAATTCCTCTAAACTGAAACTGTTGGCTTGTCCCAAGGCTGAGATTGGATCCAGCAACCCCAGCACCCCACAGCTGGGAGCTCAGGGGGCCACCCCCTTTACGACCCCCCTGTCTCCAAAGACCCCCATGGGACTGTCAGACCTGCCAGACCACCCCCCCCTTTTCCACCCTTCTCCCTGTTCATTTCACTTTTCCATGGTCCCCCCAGGATCACTCTGGGCATCCAAACCTCCACATTTTTCCCCTCCTCTCTCACCCCTTCCACATCATCCCCCCATCCCCCA